GGACCCCGGGGAATCCTTCCTTGCGGGACAGCTCCTCACCCGGGGTGCGGAGCGGAACCGCGGAGGAGACTGGCCCCGACTGCTCAGCTGCTAGGCTGGAGGGCACAGGCGCGAGTTAGGGTCGGGGAGGACCACCCCCCACCCCTGCCCAGACCCCGTGGGGCGAGTAATGGGTGCAGCCCCATTGGTGTCTGAAACTGAGCAACGGAAGCCCGCGGGGTGCAGGGGTCTGCGCTGAGCCCTGGCCAGACTCTGGGGAGACCCCGGGCGCGGTCCACCCGGAGCCACGCGGGCGTCCAGCTGCGACGCTGTCCCGCAGCTGGAGCGAGGATGGGAGGCTGCCTCGCCCTGCACTTGAGCTCCTACTTGCAAGGTGGCATATATCCATACTCCTCGAATTTCAGAAAAAAGAAATTTTAGCCCCACCTTTACAAACCCTGGGCTTCTCTGTAAACTGTACCACCTTGCTGAATCTTCCCCACAAGTCTGCTGTGGACCACAGAAATAGCCTAAGGCTCTTTCAGCAGAATTTTGTAGCGCGAATGTAATTGTAAATTTCAGATGGAAAGAAACTCTGCAGTTGGGTTTGAGAACAGAAGCTGGCGCCTGCCTGGGTGTTAGTCTGCTTGAGCAAAACTATATTTTTTATCTATCACGTTCATATGTTACTGGCTTCTGGCTTTCATGGGAATATTTGAGACCATGGAATCTGTCCATTGTTCCAAGATCACTGTAAAATAGGCCATACTTGGTATTTTATCATTGTGAAGAGGGAAAAATAATGTGTTTTATTCTTCTGATTGATTTCCTTTGTGAGAATGTGCGTTTTCATAAGGTAGGAAATTATCCTAAAAAAGAAATCTTACTTAAATGAGGAAGCTAAATCTTTCAGTACCCTTTTATTTCCCTGAAGTTCCTCCTTTTATCCTTTTAAAGAACAATATTCTTAAAATCCTTAACGTCTATTCAGATCATTTCATTTATCTTGATGTCAGCTATAGATCCATTTTTATAGGAAAATTACAATAAATCTTACAGAAACATTGTTCTCTAAAAGTCATCACAGTTTGATGAAAAACTTTTCTTTCTCACGTTTTATTTGAGATTTCAAGTTTGATATTTCAACTGAGAATTCTGATGGTGGAAAATAAAACTGGATACAAAAGAGACAGACAATCTTACAATTAGTCCAGTAAAGGGATCACATTGTCAATATCAAATTTTTTCTCAGTATTTCATTTGTAAAACACTTTCTGTGACTAATATTAAATGTTCTAGTAATGCCACATGAAGAAATATTGATCAATAGCATTATGTTTATCATGTATAAAATATTTTGCATAAAATTGCACAGCATTCATTGTAACACTTGTTGAAAAGCTGAGATTAGGAAACAGGTTAATTTTCTACCTTGGATGTTCAATTGAAAAAAGAAGGCAAATCTTATTGGTTAAGATTTTCCTAGTGTTTAAACTAAGCCCTACCTACAAGGAGACACTTAAAAACTTCAGCATCCCTCTCTTCCAATCATTTGTACTATTAGCATTTAAGTGTGAAAAGTAATTCATTGCAACAAAAATTTACTAACTAGTCATTTAGTGAAGAGCATGATTCATTAGTTGTGTTGTGTGTATGTTTGTGTATCTTTGGGATAGGGTAGGACTAGAGGAAGGCCAAGAAAAGGTTGACTACACAGTTAAACAGAAATAAAATGAATGTTGGATGGGTGGGTGGGTGTTAGGAGAGGGAGGGAGAAAATAAGAAAAAGATCAATAATGTATCAATGCTCCAATAGGTACATATGACTCCTTATATTCAGCAACAAGTGCAAATGAAACAAGTAGAATGCCTTTATTCATCACTCTTTTAGGGTCTTGTGTCTTAGTCTTGAAGCTTGTGTTCACAGTGTTCTTCATAGTACCTTGTGTTACTTGTCTTTATGCCCCCAGAACCCAGCAGACCAACTAGCACATTAGATGTTCAAAAAGTACTAGTCCAAGGAATAAAGGAAGCAGCAGCTAATCTTTTTTAGCTAATCATTTACAAAACCTGCCTTTAATAATTCATTAAATTATTCCACTTTAGAGAGGAATTGTTGCCCCTAATTTTCCCTGTTTCAAGTGAATATTCAAGATGGCATTTCCTTGATCTGTTTACTTACAAAGCAGTGTTTTTTCTATGAATCCAGTATTTTATGTGCCTCTATTTAAAGTTGAAAAACTAATCTACAACAAACTGTGCAGTCTCGGATAGTCTTTCATTTAAATAAAAATGTTTTCTTTTCTTTTTTTTTGCTTTTCTAAAGTTTGTGTTGTTTATGTGGTCACATTTATCAACGAAGACATCTAATTTAAAAATTTTAAGTGCTAGACTATCACGATTATCTATGTATCTCCTTATATAGGGGCCACTTGAAACTAGTCTAATTTTAGTCTTTCCAATATATGTGCATATATAAACAGGCATGCCTTATGAACACACACATTTAATCATCTACCATCCTAAATTTGCTCATAGTCTGAGGATATTCCATTTTTTGTTATTTTAAAGCTGATAAAGTTAAACTACTTTTCTAAAATGATTAGCAGCAAATACTTACTTAGCATCCATTATGTACACTATACTTTGCTAAGCACTATTATTATCGTGAAAAGAATTAAATGTTTCTTTTATCTCAATTAGAGCCCAATAGAGAGAAACAATTGTGAAGGCATCTACATTGTTTCTGCTATCACAAATTGTGCAGCACTTCTTTTGCTTCAAAAATTTCGGGTAGTGTCCTACTGACTGAGCTTCTTTCTTCAGTTACAGTGCCCCCAAAGCACAAAGTCAATGTAGGAACAGCTGATTTCTCTCCTGTATTGTCTTGTAATGGGGAAGGCAGTAAATTAACACTGAGCAAAAAATAAATAAATAAATAAGTGATTCAAAAGAAGAATAATTTCGGATCACAGTAGCAAATAACTTGAACATATTACAGGTATAATAGACAAGCAAGATGTAACCAGGAGGTCATGAGGACTCAAGAAATTAGGGAGATAGGCTAGTGAAGGCTGCTTTGATGAAATGATTCAGTAGATTAGAGTCACTTTTTTTACTGAGTATCCTCTTTAACTCGAGGCAATATCAATATAAATTGTTGATTATGGCCTAAGAATAAATGAATGAATAAAATCCCGAACTTTTGAATTAATTTGTCTTTAAAGGGATGAAAATAGATTCTAGAAAGTAATACAATCTGTTAACATAGAAGATCGACTGCAGAAGTTGTGAACAAGTTAAACTTTCAAATTTTCTCATAGCACATGATGCCTATATCACCATATTTGAAACTTGCTATATAAAAACTGAAATTAAATTTATGTATAATAAATATAGACATACAATAAGATTTCCTATGTGGAAATATAATGATCAGAACCTATAAATCCCTTATAAGGGGTGACTGAAGATTAAAATATTTACTATTAATTTACAAAATATGTATTTTTAAAGCCTCAATCGAGAAATCTATATGTAAAGATACAAGTAAATATATATTGATATGAGTGAAAATGCTTTTAAAGCTACTGATATATAAGCATTTCTGTGATAATGTATAGTCCTCAGAGTTAATTTTCTGGCTTTGTTTTCTCTCTCTCTCTCTCTCTCTCTGTGTGTGTGTGTGTGTGTGTGGATACTGTATAGGAAATACTTGTTAAAATAATGACAGAGGAGGCGCTACTTGTACTCCTCATTGGTATATTGTATAGGCAGTTTTGCACTTTGCCATAAAGTGAGATCAAATCTCTAATAGGTAGCAGTAATTTCACTGTGGTATTAATATTACAGTATTAATATGTTGAAAGGAAAAACTTATAGGGTATAACTATTACCAACTTAAAGTTAAAATATTTTCCTTAAAATCAATTAGTCAATCTTTTTAGACTGACATATGGAATGCCACACCCATTACAAACTGGCACACAGTCCCTCTACCAAAGCCCACACGCTACCCTCCTCCTATCTTCCAGTTCCCTCCCCCCACCATGAAGATTTTCAGTTTTAAAATAAAAAAAAGTAAATTGTTTTTAGAAACATCAGCAGCATTGCTGGTTAGTTGTACTAATTTGTGATGACCTGACATATTTCAAAGGAGTGAGTCTTGTTCACGGAAAGATTTTGCCTTCCATAGTTTTCCCATGGTCTCAGCCCAGCGTGGTAAATATAGCAAGTGCCGACTTAGATTAGTTCTGGATAGTTTTGACATTTGTGAAACCTTCATTTGAACCCCTCACAAACTAAGTACTATTTAGGACTTTAGACTTTTGTTTAAATCTTCATTCTCCTATAAAATACCTATTTAGCACTGGCAATGGGGAAGTAGTAGGCTGTGTGTTACAAGATGACAGTGGATAAGGGCCAATGCCTGCTTTTCCATTGCTTTTAAGGAAGGTTAGCGGGTAAGCACTGTAATTGCAATAGGAAGCATGCTGTGCTGTTTAGCAGCAGGTAGCAATATGCAGAGGATTATGGGAGCTCCAAACTGGAAATCACATTCAATTGCACAGACCAAGGAATACTTTGGGATAGGTAACTTTGAGGTTTGGCTTTCATTCAGGTAGGAAATGAAGGAGTGTTTAGGATTAGGTGACTAGTATATATCAAATATGTTGGCTGGAGAATTAATGAGTTATTGTAAATTAACTATCTTGAAGTTCTTATCTACATTTTTCTTTTATGGTAGCTTTACATAAATTAAAACAAAGTCTGTTATTTTAATACAAGTTATATACTGTAGAAATAATGATAGAATTACACAATGAAATTGTTATTGACTGATATTTACACTGCACTTGGAGCCAATTAAAGATTTCACTAAACTTTCTTACAAGATGCGTAAGGTTATGCCAGCTAAGTGTAAAATCTGGTTTTCCTCTCAGTGGTCAATAGAATTTATAGTGGTCATGTGAGTTTTTTAAATTGCTAATTTTTTTTTTTTTTTGTATCCCTGACAGGACTATAATATGGATTTAGAACTTGACGATTATTATAACAAGACACTTGCCACAGAGAACAATACTACTGCCACTCGGAATTCTGATTTCCCTGTCTGGGATGACTATAAAAGCAGTGTAGATGACTTGCAGTATTTTTTGATTGGTCTGTATACATTTGTAAGTCTTCTTGGCTTTATGGGGAATCTACTTATTTTAATGGCTCTCATGAAAAAGCGCAATCCGAAGACTACAGTAAACTTCCTCATAGGGAATTTGGCATTCTCTGATATCCTGGTGGTTCTGTTTTGTTCTCCTTTCACCCTGACCTCTGTCCTCCTGGATCAGTGGATGTTCGGCAAGGTCATGTGCCATATCATGCCCTTCCTCCAATGTGTGTCAGTTCTGGTTTCAACTTTAATTTTAATATCCATCGCCATTGTCAGATACCACATGATAAAACATCCTATATCTAACAATTTAACAGCAAACCATGGCTACTTCCTGATAGCCACTGTCTGGACACTAGGCTTTGCGATTTGTTCTCCACTTCCAGTGTTTCACAGTCTGGTGGAACTTCAGGAAACCTTTGGCTCCACATTGCTGAGCAGCAAGTATTTATGTGTAGAGTCGTGGCCATCAGATTCATACAGAATTGCTTTTACTATCTCTTTATTGCTAGTTCAGTATATTCTGCCCTTAGTTTGTTTAACTGTGAGTCATACAAGTGTGTGCAGAAGTATAAGCTGTGGGTTGTCCAACAAAGGAAACACGCTGGAAGAAAAGGAGATGATCAATTTAACCCTTCATCCATCGAAGAAGAGTGGACCACAGGTGAAACTCCCTAATAGTCATAAATGGAGCTACTCATTCATCAGAAAACACAGAAGAAGGTACAGCAAGAAGACAGCGTGTGTGTTACCTGCTCCAGCAAGACCACCTCCAAACAGGCATTCAAGAACAGTTCCAGAAAACTTTGGCTCAGTGAGAAGTCAGCCATCCTCATCCAGCAAGTTCATCCCTGGGGTCCCCACCTGTTTTGAGATGAAGCCTGAAGAAGTCTCAGATGTTCAGGAAATGAGAGTAAACCGTTCTATCATGAGAATCAAAAAGAGGTCTCGAAGTGTGTTCTACAGACTCACCATACTGATCTTAGTGTTTGCTGTGAGTTGGATGCCTCTACACCTTTTCCATGTGGTGACTGACTTTAATGATAACCTTATTTCAAACAGGCATTTCAAATTGGTATATTGCATTTGTCATTTGTTAGGCATGATGTCTTGTTGTCTTAATCCAATACTCTATGGATTTCTTAATAATGGAATCAAAGCTGATTTAATGTCTCTTATACACTGCCTTCATATGTCATAATTCTTATTGTTTACCAAGGAAATAACATGTTGAATAAAGTATATTCACGATAACTGTGTATATCTAACAAATACATTTTGCTAAGTTAGGACATTTAATTTATACAAAAGTTTTGGATTGTATGTCAAGTCATGTGAAATGGGAAATAATTTTAATATGTAATAATACAATGAATTCATTTAGTTGAACAAAGTCAGTGTTAGTCCAATTTGGAATTCATTTTAAAAAGTAGTTGTGTTATCCTTTGTTTCATCTATCTTATAAACAAATGAATTGTAATATTTTTGGTTTAAAATAAAAGTTATATCTAATCAAGTCAGTACTTTTTTCCCCAAAATCATGACAAATAAAAATATTTGCCCTAGCCCTCCCTGGTGGCGCAGCGGGTTAAAGCACAGCACTAAGAAGCTAAAGCCACTTCGGCATGAGTTCAATTCCCGCCTGCCCCGGAGGAGATCCACATGGCGCAGCAGACCTCTCCTGACCCGCCCGCTGCTCCCCTCGGCAGTGTACTTTGTCGATCTGCCTGTTCTGCTCCCCACTCGGTCCCTGGTGAATCCTCTCACCCTCTGCTTCTCTGCCCTGTACCCCAGTTCTATATGAATAAATAAATAAATCTTTAAAAAAATTGCCCTAAGGAACATTTAATTTCAAATTTGAGGGATAACTATTATTGGTTTTCATTTCTACTTCACGGGTTCCTTAACATTTACTTTAGGAAAATCCTGAAAACATGAAGTATGCCCAGCAAATCATAACTAAATAGAGATGTATGCCTCAGTGATGATTATGACTATAAATACTGGGTACCGTTTTGGAAATTCTACAGTAAAACACTCGTCTCCTATTACTCACAATTGGTCAAATTCTTAGTTTATCCCCACGGTCCTAGTACACAGTTAACTTACCAAGTAAAAATAGATTTCAGATCTTTTCTAGACAAACTACAACATGAAATATGGTCACTCACATTGGTTTCATGTTTCTTGTGTTTCAAAATGTGAAGTATAAATGGTATCTGTATTTGCAAGTCTTCAGTTATTTTAAAGAATAAAGTGCCCACATGGAAAAAAAGTTAATACGTTTTGTGCTATTTCAGTATTGAGGTCTCATAGACCACCTTACTTATGTGAACTTAATTTTTGCAATCATTGAAATTTTCTGTCCGTTTTGACCCATCTTTTTAAGAGCTGTGTTCTCCCTCCCACCTTCCCCTTCCCTAGATGATGTCTACAAATAGCAAAAGTCGAGGTAGGGGAAGCTGTTCCTCACAGCGCCCTCTGTTGACTGCTGCTGAACTCCTGTTGAGTAATCATTTTGCCCCATTTCCAATTACTCCAGCCAATGTCTGTGCTCTAAAGTACCTTCTGTATCCATCCTTAGAATTCTGATCCTTGGAGCTAGAAGGGATCATGCTTAGTGAAATAATCCAGAAAGAAAAATAAAAATACTGGATGGCTTCACTCATAGTAGGAGTATAAAGGACCAGGGGAGAAAATAATAATAATGAACAACTATGCACCAGAGACATTTTACAGGAATGAAGAAGTGCACTGGATGATGGTACACGGGTGATTTGGTGATGGAAAGCACACGGGGATTACAACTGAGATGGAAAAAGGCACAAAATGATGTAAAAATAAACATATTATTAAAAAATTACAAACAAGCAAAAAAAAAAAAAGAATTCTCCATCCTTGATGACACTGTGGGGTGTAAGCGCTCACTCAATGTGTGGTTCCCTTGGCCTCTGCCACATCCTCCATCTTGTAATGAGCCTAAGATGTCTGCTGTGTGTGGTCTTGCCCCTGCAAAGTCCATTCTGGAACGTTAACTTGGACACTGGGAACTCATGAGAATCTACCCTTTATTGGGGAGAGCAGGGCCAGGGACCTTGGCTTTCCCAGGCTTCACTACTTTATCTACTCTGGGACTTTATCTTCTCTGTCACCCCATGTGACTACTACACTCTGCTTCTCAGTTTCTTTCCAGCCTTTCAAATATGAAAATGGACACAAACCCCTTTCTACCCTTAACTCTTTATCCTGCTAATTTATCTGGTGTTATTTGATTGTCCTCCTCCCATTTTTTTATATGATAGCAGATAGACAAAATGAAGTAGTTCACTGTTTCCTCTTTCCCTCCCCTTATGTTTATTTCTAACATCTTCTCTGCTGTTCAGAACATCAAGGTTTATTATGGGAAAAGAAGGGTTGAGAATAAAAAATAATTTCCCCCATCAATGCTTGGATTGGGGACTGACCCAAAGCAATCTAAGCTAAAGGAATACACTGTTCGGGTACAGCAGAATATCCCTGGCTTTTCTGGCTTCTTGCTGGGCTGGACAAGTCATTAAAACAGCATCATCTTGGGAGAGGTTAAAAAAAAAATTGAATAGGGTACTCCAGAGAGCTACAATGATTAGGCGGTTAATATTTCACCTAGGGAGAAGGGGAAAACCCTTAGTTTAGAGGTCTGGATCACTGAAGAAAGAGAAGGGGATAAGCTCACACAATGTGGAGTGTATGATTTCATCTATACTCTGTAGAAAAATGAGTTTCTTGAATAGGGATGACATTTTTTGATAAACCTATACCTGCATGATACCTCTCAATACATCTTTCTAAGTCATAAAAAGAGGAGCAAAACCTTCTTCTTTTATTAGGAAAAGGACAAAAGCTTAGGGAGTGGCCATCTCTTCTTCAACTAGGGAAGGGCTAAGTCTGAAGGGAGGCCAAGCGCTACTGCGGCACCCAGATCTTCCTTGCTCTCAACTCAAAATAACCCGCGTTCTTTCATGGTTACAGTTTCTTCTTGAGGCCCAGAGGGCCTATAGGGTCATTCATTCCACATACCTGGGTGACTTATCCTAAAAGGCCTACTACTTTGGGCCAATTGAGAAAAGCCTCTTGAAACTGTGGGGAAGCCATCCCATGACCTCTTTTCAGGCAACAGATTTTCTTGCCTTCACTTGAGCAGTCCACTTCAAGGTTTAACTTTAGTGGCTGTAGAGAGAAAGGGCCTCATGGATAAAAGCAAATATAAACACTTGGACAGGTATTTTATACTATTAGAGTAACTTGCATCAGTAAAAGGACAATAACTGTCAAACTTCACAGATTTTATGGCTGCTGATAGATGAGTTTAGTTAAACTGGGTAAACTAATTTGGGACTCTTAAACTATTGAACTCAAAGGAAGCTATTTATCTTCCCTAACCAGAAATGACTGAACATCCTAATAATTGAAAGTTAAGAAAATTGAATAAGTTGGATAGAAATCATTACATTGGGGATTAATGGTTTTAACAACAGCATTATGAATAATAATTTCTTCCATGGAAACCTGCTTAGTGAGTTAAACAATTTATGTTCAATCAACCATTGAGAGCTGATTATCTAACTTTTCCCCTATTTTCTCCTGGTGTCTGACCTGATTACTTATTCCACAGCACTTTCACAAAGCAGGGCTAGGGGAAATAAATGGAGATGAAATTATAAACAGTCAACCTCATTACTTTTCACCAATTGTTTTTAAATATTTTATTCAGGAGGGGAAGTTAAATTGAATTTTAATGGTTATTTAAATTATTCCTGCTAGCTATGCTGCCCATTACTGTGGATAATAAGCACTAGGGGGAAAAATGTTGGGAAAAAGAAAAAGATGAAATGATGAGGAAACACAAGAATTCTGTTATTCAGATGTCTACTGAGTGCCTACTGTGCACCAGGAACTCTACAGAACATTAGAGGAACACTGAGAAGCAAGCCCCAAGCCCGTGAATGAT